AGATGAAATGCTGGTTTGGTAGCGAGGCTACAAATACACACAGCCGCTCTATCACGTGATGCATACTGCTCCGATGTGCTACGGTTATGAGGCGAGTTACGCCATGTCGCAAGTTTTGTGAGGTGCTTTTTTGATATTTAATGGATCGATTACATTTTTTATTTCTCTCCGATATCCGATCCAGTAATTTGGGTCAGTATCGGACCGATACCGATACGTAATATCGGATTGGTCCATCTCTAGTACCTACATAACCCTAACCCTTGGTATAATCGTTGTGCTCATCCTAATCTCATTCAAATTTCCCCACAATTTGTCTCCACAATTTGTCTGAAATACCCCCAACATTTTTGGGGGTATTTCAGAGGTCAGGAGATTCAGATGGTTGGTGTAATATAACCATATAAAACAGAAAAATTAGATACATATGTTGATGTACAGATTCTGTTTGGTAGACTCAGATGCATCCATGGTGATGTTTAGTTTATCTTGATTGAATTTTGTCCTTCAGGAATTAAGGCTTTGAAACCTCACTGTTACTTCCAGCATCTTATATTGCAGGCGTTGCTGTAGGATATTACATGCGTGATTGCATTGTAGCATTTGTGTCAACACAGGCAATTACACTTCTAGTCCATTCCAAGGTGAATACCAGTGATTGCAAGAAAGGATTTGCTGCTTAGGAAATTCAGGTACTTGCCAGCTTTTCCAAGGTAATTACACATGTGACTGAGAGCAATCAAGACCTGACGGGAAGGAATCCAGTGCAACAATTACAGGTTGTCTGGGTACTAAGTACCTGATCAATGAGAAATCACTAATTAAGTGTAGTCCTTCCTCTGCAGTTTAGGTAGCGCTATTAAAGGTATGCTTTTAACGTAGATGGCAAAGGAAGGCAATTGTTTTGCTGTCATATCTAATTAGCTGCATCACCTTATAACTGATGCTATTTCTTTTCTCTTTTTTTGGTTTAGGTTTAGGTTTTAGGAGAAAATATTGTGACAAGTCATGGCAAAACAAGAAATGGAGTTACTGCAAATGAGGATAATGTTTTGTCACTTGCCATTTATTATTTATCGGCTATAAAAGGGGGCATTGCGTTTAGCAAGAACATCAGTGGGATACAGATTTTTAGAGGGTTAGGAAATTGTAAATGGCCAGCAGTCTAAACTGAGCCACATGTGTTGCATTGAATATTTAGTTAGTTGAGTTGAGAACACGAGGGCAGGCTTCATTGAGTTGTCAGCAATGAACAACAGCAGTTAAGTAACTTTAGTCTGTCACTTTTGGTTTTGTTTAGCGTGATTAACTGCCACTAGCTGTTTTCACACATAAATTCTAAAAATTATCCAAACTTGAATTTTCTCATTTACAGCACACAGCAGAAATCTGATTCAGAGACAGGATGTGTCCTGGGTAGAAAACAACATCCCCTGCACATTATTTTGAAAGGGTGTGCCCTAGGTAGAATGTGTAAGATGCATGATGCCCCCTCAGTCGCTCTGAATTTACTAGACAATTACCAGCGCTATTTCCGTGTGGACATAGTCTTTGTACAAAGGAGCTGATAGGTTAAAAAGTTTTACATGTTCCAAACAATATCTCTGTCAGATAGTATGAAGGAAAGCTCAGGGCTGTAGTGCATGCATTAAGAAAGTATTAACATCTTTATGAATTTCAGGAACCCGGTGTGGTGAATTGAGCTGTTTAAACACATTTCTATGAAGCTCTGAGATATCTTACTGGGAATGTTGTTCATTTCCTCAGATCCCGGAGTCCTCACCTAAGAAGCCCAACAAGACTCCAGTAAAACAAAATGGCCCTGCAGGAAAAGCCTCAGGATCAGCTGTCAAACCACAGATTAAGGTATGCCCAAAAGATTTCCGAAGTAAATCTTTGTTTACCTGTGGTTGGCTTGTGGGTATTTAAAATACCCAGTTGTTAACCGTTGTACTCGAGATCAAAAGTGTTTAAGAAAATGTGTAACATTGCAATTTTTAAAGGAATTTTTTTATTATGTCACTAGTTACAGCAGGGTAAAGTCAAAGCCAGTAGTTGTATTTGTGAAGAAATGTGTCATGTTAGGCATAGAAACAAGTATACAAACAATAGATGATGAAAAGTTTTACAGAAGAGTGGATAAACAAGTATACAATTACATAATGTGTTACAGAAGGTGAGGGAACTTTGCTAAATTGGTTGTTTGCATTTACTGCCATTATCAATTTAAAAAAATGCAGGCTCACCAAATGGAGGGGAAAAGACACACAAAAAACTTGGAGAGCCTTCCCATTCCAGAGCCAAGGAATGTGATAAATGCATGGTGCAATTAGTCCAACCTGATAGTTAATTTCTTCGATGGAATGTCTCGGACAGCCACTTCTGAAAACCTAAAGCTTGAACTCTGCCTGTCTTTAAGCAAACACACCTGACCTCTAAACGGGTTTCCTGGGGCAAGGTTTAAACCTGCGACCCTTTAGCTTGACCTCGCCATCTTAAGTTGCAGCCACCTTTGATGCCCCTCACCCCTCTGTAGCTCGCGCACACTTTAAGAAAAACAAATTGTCAAGCTTCTCTGCAGGTTTACATACTTCTTAAAGTGCGTTACTGTGAAAGAAAATACTTGGACAGAAACTCGGCTCAGATAAGGTGTTACGTGTCGGCATGCGAACGTTGTCTGTTTATATGATAGAAACATGACTTGCGCTCACTTACGCAGACAGGGCGCGTGAGAAGATTATCGTTTCTCGTCTGACATCTTGATGGAAAGCTTTGTGATTTTTTTTTTTTGTCATGTTAAACACTAAGCCACAGGATTACCGAACCCCTGAAGGTGTAGTGCCCTGAAGGGCATGCTGTATGGGTGAGCGCAGCTTATAATGCAGTAGTTGTTGTCCAGACATAACACAGCGACTCTTGAAATGCTCTTGGGGATTAGCCAATGGGCGACTAAATCGCCCCAAACCAACCTGCTGGTTTAACTTTCTTGCCTGTGGTGCTTTGAATGCTTCCATCCCCTCTCAGCTTCTTCACAACTGTTCTCTCTCCACCACCTCTTCACACCCCTCACTTCCTGGACACACCTTCTCCCAATTGCTCTCATTACCAGTGTTTGATGTCTGGTGCAGCTTGCGCTTCCAGATGCCCCTGAGGAGCGAGGAAGCGGGTGTGGGTGTCTGTTTTTTTCGTTCCTAAATGCAGGTGACTGGTCATTAGATTGGCTTGTCAGATCTGTTGCCAGTACCACGGTTCTCACCTCTCACGGCCCAGCGTGTAGCTGCACCTTCTTGTGTAACAGGCTCGACATGAGAACCAGCTAACTCGACTTGCGCTGATCTGAAGTAACTTTATCTTGCAGCTGGTGTCGTTTGATTGATGGGTTTGGCGAAGCCGATGCCTTCGAGCACACGTCAGAGTCGTAAAGTTGTTAACTACTTCACTCAGCCTTATCCCACAAGTGTTTGAGTCATTGTTTTAGCGACTGATTGGCATGTGTTACAGCAGGTGCATATCTTGTAAGTGCTTTAATGTCTTTTGTCAATCTGTCATTTTACCATTTGGACTCAAAGATAGACCAAAAGATCAACTCATTAAAGTACCTGTACATACAGAGGCTTTATAGGATGAGAGTCACGGTTTTTCCGTGTGACCTGACATTTTCCCCCTACTTGTGCCTCCAAGGTTTTCATTCCAGCAAAATGACAATTACTATCCCTGAACAGCCTTGATGAGCAAAAATGTCACAACCATGTATTTGCACTGGTTCGAAGATGAGAGATTACATCAAATGATAGTGTGCTTGTGATTAAGTTCCATGTCTCATGGCATCTGTAATCAGTGTCTGGGCCAGATGAAAAAGCTTGTTGGCTTTGTGTGTTTATCAGCTGTTTCAGGTCCACAGCTGTCCCTTGGAAGTGGAGAGCTGCCTGTAAATAATAAACGTGTAGTGCATTTGTTTGGCTAGGAGCCAGAAAAAAGGCCATTTTCTTAGTGTGGTATGTGTGTGCCAAGGTTTTGTTCATTTTATACCTTTTAATCTCTGCTATTAAAAAAGAACCTGATCTCTCAGAGGCAGGGACAGGGCATTGTGGCTACACGTGTACGACTAATTGCAACATTTTGGCTCTGGTATTTGGAAGATGAGAGCTTCTCCTGGAAGGCCTGTTAAACTTAGGTTATGCATGGCAAGACATTACATATATTATGTTATGCAGTTATTGTTCTTTTTTGCAATCAGCACATTTTGACTCAGTATCTAAAATTAAAGATACATATAATGACCACTAGTTCCAGTAGGAATGACACTACAAACATAGTGATTTCTATGTCTTTGTTAACTAGTGAGCTGCTAGATGTCACCATGAAATAGTATAGTGTCGTAATGCAGGCACACAGACATACAGTTGGTTGACTATAGAGTGGGTATAGAGTTTCTCTGTACATCTATACACTGTCATCTTTCCGATGTGTCTCTGGCTATCAATGAAACCCTGCAATTTCGCTGAATTCCACACTCCGCTTTGCATGTAGGGGCAAGCTCCATGGCTTGCATAACATGCAGTAACAGAGTATGGTGTATGTGTGTTTTTGTTGTGTCACATTCAGACACTTGCTAATTTAGGACCTGAGTCGTTGGCTGCCCAGGTCTGGACACACCTATTGGCCTACTAGTTCAGTGCTCGCACTTCTCTTCCTCAGAAACACAGCAAAGTCTTTGTGTTTTGAAATAAAACATTTACTGTTGCAAATCTGGTGATAGTATTGTTTTTTTAATCCTGACCATTGGTAGTAAATACAGTACTGTGCAAAATTCTTGAGCTGCACATAATTTCTTTATATTTTGAGCGGCAGAAAGCAAACTCTGTTTTTACCTGATATGTTGTATTTCCATTTATGTTTACATGTTTCAATAAATCACTGCACCTGTTTTCCATTTTCCAAAGAAAATATACAGAAATGAGTGGCTGCGTTTTGCCCAGACTGTACTGTCTGTTGAAAAGAAAATCTGTCGCTTTATTTGTGCAAATCAATAATTTGATATTCAGTAGAAATCTTTTACTGACAGCAGCCATAAAAGCTAAAGTTGCACTTTTTTTCTTTTGAATTCAGTGTTTGAGAAACTTTTCTTCAATGAAAAACACTTGACAAACAACCTGAATTGCTCATTGGAGAGTCAGGGCTTGCCCTCTCCTGCTTGCAGACAATCAAAACATAATTTGTACCTGATGTATTTGTTAAAAAAAGGATGATGGTGTAATGAGGCTAGAATTTGTTGTCCTCTCCAATTCTTTTATCCCCTTCCAGCTGGTTGCCCACGCCAAGGCTTTAAACACAGACCAAGACTAAGTGGGTCACGACAGGGCTTTTGCCCAGACTGGCCTGTTGGTCAACAGATTAATTAATCAGCAGCATGCTAAATTTAGCAACTGTGTGTTTGGTTCATTTTAGCAAAATAATACTGATGGCAAGAACTGAGCTTGTGTTAACGATGAAATGCTGTGGCATAATCGGAAGCCATCATTTTATCTATAGCTCTGTAAATTTCTAGTATCTTATCTAGCTGATGTACGTTTCCAGATACCTGCTCCGGGAAAAGACAAACAACAGCCCGGCCCATCTAAATCTCTGCCTGAGATTAAGAGCAAGTTGTCAACTGCAGCCAAGGAGGTAAGGCTGCTGTTTTTTTTTATTTGTTTTTAAATGATCCTTCATAATTTAATGACAATTAAGATTATGATGATTTAATGGTCCTTTTCTTCAGGGAAAGCCACTTCCAAAGACAGAGCCGAAGTTTGAGAATTACTTGAGAAGTGCTTTTAAAATCTCAGACAAACAAGTAAGTAATCTTTGTACAGTGTTGTGAGAGCTTTTTGCTTATGTAAATTATTAAAGCGGACCTTTTGTGCTTATTTCCAACTTCATGTATATCTTTTTGGGCCCTGCTAGAATAGTTTTTCATCCCTCACAGTTCAAAATAATCTTTATCCAATATGTTGAAGCCCCTTTAGCTTCCATTTAAGCCAGCGTTTGTCCGATTGGCTGTCCCTTGTAAATAAAAGCTTTGAATAGCAGGTGAGAGAGGCCGGTGCTCACACCAGATATATGCCTGAGATGAGCATAATAAGGGGTGTGTATATGTGCTCCCTTTAAGTTTGTACATTTTTATCCCATGTGCAGTTCTCATCAATTTTCTGCTGTTCTGCAGTCTGTGTAATCTGTCTCGTAAACGCTCACTCGAGAGTGGCTGTTTTCCGCCAGGTTTCTAGAAATACTCCTTCAGATGTAGAGTGTTAGCAGTTGCATTTATGCCCAAACTCGTTTTATCTGTAAGAGCTCATTGCCGTGATGTATAACCGGGCATACGTTATTCTTCCTCTCACTGTCCTCATACCTTATTCTGTTCAGTTTGCCTCAAATGTTTCTCCAGCACAGTGTGTACTCTTTGAATTATATTTACACTGTTTCGGTGGGCTCTTGCGAGATGGATTTGGGAGTACACCTGCCAAGGCAAACTCTTTCACGGTGATTTAATGGAAGTGTGTCTTTTGTAGCCCTAATGAAGCGACTGGTGGTATGTGCGTGGTACCAGCCTTTTTCGCTTTCAAGGCCTTTGACCAAATGCAAGCCTTAAATCTTTTCTAATGCGGCTTCTGTCGTTTCAGAAGAAAAACAACATCCTCTGCACATTATTTTGCAAAGCATGAATTAATCACCCTTAAAGCCTTAGATGATCACTGCAGACTTAATGATTCTGGGCAGTGTGTCAGATAGTGAAGTTGTGTTTTCTGTATTAAGGCATCTGTTAGATGGCGATCACTTGAACCGAGCTATTTGAACATTCATATGTGATTGCTTTGCAGTGTTTAAATAATAACTGTACAGTTATGAGAGCAGGTGAAAGCTCTTTAGAGCGGCACATGGGTTGGGTGGACAAGGGAAAGAGTGGGGGTGGAGTTGGGTCAGGGAGAGCTTGTTGATCCCACTGTGTAGAAACATCTGTGGAAGTGCTTTGGTTTCATCAGCCAAGGCTGAGATCTGTCAGACCTGGAGCACCTAGTCATATACTCTGGTATGTAATGCTGCCCCCACCCAGCCCCTCGTTGTTCCCCCAACAGCCCCATCCAAATTCAGTGTTCCCACAGCCGAGACGCACAAAAGCATGTTGTAGTAAAAGTGAGTCATGTGTCTCATGCTGTGTAGCACTTCATTTAGATAATTTGTAATTTTTCTCTTTCTTTTCTTGTTTCTTATTTTGGTGTTATCCCTCTTTTCCCTCTTCTTCCACAGGTGGTCAAGGATCTTTGGAGTTTTGTGCAAACACTGAAGACTGAGAAGAAGTAACATACACATACATTAAAGCATTTGTACATTTGCATCCTATAAGGCATTTAAAGGCACAGTCGGCTAGATTTCCTAATCGGTCTCCTTCTTTCAGCCCTGTGAAGGACTATGATCAGATGAAAATGGACTGAGTGCTGGAATATGGTAAAGCCATCAATGCATAGATTTAGGTTTCAATGTTTTTCTTCTTCGTTTTTTCCTAGACTGAAAGGACTTTATTGAGTTGGTTCTTTCACAGACTCGATTCATGTTTAGCAGACTGTAGATTTGCTGCAAGGGGAAGCTGCGTGCATCACAATGGGCGGGGTCTGTGTTGCTACTACAGGAAAGGAAAAGTTTCTAAAATTTATACTACCTGTAGATTTATGTAGCTCCTGTGTATCACTGAATATGATCATTATTAGTTAACAATAAATCTTATACTTGAAGTATTCAAAACCAAAAACAGGTCAAACTTAGAACCTAACCTAGTTAGTAGTTGCTAGTTCTTTCGTACGCCCTGTTGGCAAAACAGTATTATTTTTATACCAGCAGAAGGACTCACTAACACAAATGTGCTTGACAAAAAGTAAACAAAATTTTAAAACTGTTGAAACGCTGCCTGCAGGTGGTGTAAGTGTCACAATACAGAAGCTATTCCTTTCCTTGCCTGTAGGTGGTGATATCCTCATTGAACGTCCCACTTTCTTCAAATACTGAAGAAGATGCAGGTCACATTGAAACAGCATCTGGGTGGAAATGTGTGAAATTGGTTGATTAGCATCTGTTTATCATATTCAGTCATTATTGCAAGAGGAGGTTATGCAGAATGTGCCTTTAAATACAGTCCTGATCAAACGTTTAACACCACCTGAAAAATGGCCAAAAATCATACTTTGCCTGGTTGGATCTTAACAAGGTTCCAAGTGGAGCTTCAACTTTTTGCGCATGCAATTTATTGAAAACAACACTTAACCTGAAACAGTCTGTTTTACAGCGTTGTTTTCAATAAATTGCATGCTCCAAAAAATGTTTTGTCTTGCTCCCATTTCTTCTTACACGTTGAAGCTCTGTTTGCAACCTTGTTAAGATTCAACCATGTAAAATCAGATTTTTTTTGTTGTTGCCATTTTTCAAGTGGTCTTAAACTTTTGACTGGGGAATGTATCTCTACTGTAAACTGAGATAAACCTGTTTTGTGTGAATTTGAGCAGCGCATATGTAAATGGTGAAGACAGCTAATAAAAGAGGACCGTTTGACAGCTGGAAAATTGAATCAGTTAGTGACAATAAAAGTTGTTTTTTATTTCAGCTTTGAAGAAAAAGCATTTCCGCTTACAGACTTACAGATTGTACATGCGTTTTTTTGAATACTGTATCGTTTTAGTCAAACCACAATCAGTCATTATGATATAATACAATACAATTATATTTTTTTAACAGTTTGGCCAGCAAAACCAGTAAATATGTTTCTCCCAGCAAAAATTAAGCAAACAGACAAAAAGATGTCACAAAAATAAATGCATTAAAAAACAATTTTTGCAGAGTAAAATTATCACAGATCCCCGTTGTGTATTTATGTCCACAACATGAACAACTCTCATTAAAATACTTACTACGCAGGTGCTCTGACTAAAATGTTTTTGTTTATTGTATATTTCATATAAAATCAAAACAGATTGCTAACTCCAGGAGTATATTGGCCCTAATGCTGTTTTGCATTATATTTGAATGTACTGTAATGCATCAGAAAACATTACAAGCGTATTAATAATATTAGTACAGTATGATGTATCAGAGAATTACATCAGAGTAGCATGTCATCACCTTAAAAAAATTTAAGAACTTATATCTGTAATTGTTTGCAGTCATATATCAGTCCTCTGATGACAACAAATTCTCGTTCATGCTGAGCTTATGATGTGTTTCTATTCTCATTTAATATCAAAATGTTCCACATCTTAAACCAATTAAATTGATATGCTCAAACTCTGCATTATCTAGAAAGCGTTTTTGCTATAAAATGTATTACTTCAATTTTAATAATGGAAGTTGGCCCTGTAATTTACCCAAATGTAATTAATAATTGTTAGTGATGTCTTCTTTACACTGAGGTTTCAGTAGCAGCAGGTTGCCAGGCCCAGTCTTTTGTCCTTTTGCTTTGCACGTGTTTGAGTGATTTCTTTTTTAATACTTCTGTCATATCAGTCCTAATGAACATTGTGTTGTGTAAAAATATTTCTTGCTTTTATTTACAAGACTGGCTGCTCGACAATTGCAGTTTAGGTTTTATCCTGCCCTTTCTAATCATTTCTTTTACAGCTTTGAGCTGTTTTCTTAGTCTTTGTTTCACATATTGTGTTCTAGTAAAAAAAAAATCTTCAACCTTTTTAAAATGTCTGGAATATTGTTCTGATTGTTGTTGATCTTTCGTTTTACACACGATGTGTGTAAGTTTGTCATATTTTGGGCAACGGTGAAGCCAGGACCTTAAACAAGTCCAAGTGCGAAAAAGTGATTGTTATTTGTAACAAGCTGACGCATGTTTAAGGCTCATTATTTTTAAATAATTTTTGTAATCACAAACATCTGGTTTAATTTGGCTGTAAAAAATGTAAGGGATAATAGGAGCAAACTCTTTGTAACGGAGCTGTTTTTCATTTTTTGGCAGTACATGATGAGCAGGTGATGCATGTATCGCTTTACTGAGTGAGCTTTGTCCCAAACCATGTAATGGCACTTCACTGAATTTAGTTCACCATCCAAATGGTTGTCTTTTTTTTCCTGTGACATAAAATACAAACTGTAAGCTAGTACCCATCTTCAGTTTGACTGGATGACAAAACAAAGCCACATGAAATTTTAATTTACTGTGTGATGTAGTCAAGTATAAATTGTAATTAGGTAGCTTGGCTGACCCATTGTGTGTTAAAATAAAATGCATTGTGTCCATTTACTACATCAAACTTAGTTTATTGTTAATGGTTTGTTGAGAGGAACATGTGCGTCCTTTTTTTGTACTTATCTGTAACATTTACCTGAATAAAATAAATTCTAGTAAGTCTTTGACTTACATTCTGCCCTCTTTACTGTAGACAACACCATTTGTCAGTGTGATTATAGTCACATTTGTAACTATGTGACTGTAGTGGCAACTTTCAGCTGTAATTAAGTGGGTTTAATTTAAAAAAAAAATCATGCACCAGCAGTTTCGGAATTACAGACATTTTTATACAGTCTCCTTTTCAGGGGCTCAGAATTAATTTGATTGTTGAATAATGAGCAGTTTGATGGGCAGGTGAGGCCTGTTCCATTGTTATTTCATGACAAATTAAGCAGACAATATCTTGGGATGATTTCAGATTTAAGACCGCACAAATACAATTGAAATCTGAATTTGTATTATTAAGCTTTTGGCTATAATTTTAAAATACAAGCTTCAAAGAGATTGCAACTTTAGGTAGGCTACCGTTAACCAAGTTGAAAACAATTTCAAAACGTTAGGCATTTCGTTGTCCATGTTGACGGTCATAAAATGCCATCATGAGTAGAAAAATACAGAGAGTTAAACCAGTGGTTTACATAAGGTGCAAAGTGCAAACCACTGGTTACACTCAAGAATTGAAAGGCCGGATTAGATTTTGCTAGAAGGAAATCTAAAAGGAAAAAATGAGATGAAACCAACAAACCAATGCAGGGCCCAGGTATTGCATCATAATACCATGTCGAGCAAAATACAAAACTACTGAAAAAACAAGAAAGAGCTGTCATTGGCGTCCGCCTGGAAAGCCAATCCTGTTTTGGGGTTTGTCTCATTGTTGCCTCTGTAGTGCACTTGTTGGGAATTTCATCAACACCGAAGCACTTAAAATGATTAATAACCTCCTCTGCTTCTTTACCCACCAGATCAATATCCCAGAAGTTTAATTGACTTGATGCTGCGCTTTGATTAAAATGTCCCTCTATGTTTTTGTAAACAATATTCAGGAATGATCTTTTTCAAACAAATTATGGACCTAACTGTAAAAAATGACTGTTGGACCATATATATTGTATATAAGATGACTGAGGTATAAGTGTATTTTTATTATCATGAATCGAAAATAGGCTGCGTTCATATGGAACTTATTATGCCCATAAATTCGCTTTGTCACAAAACCACCCCCCATTAAACCTCATGTACTGGAAACTAAGCATAAACACCAGTGACTGTCAGATGTTAAGCATGTTAAGTTGTCCATCACTACATGAACTTTTACACTACATTTATCATTAACCTTTTACATTTGTTTGCAATTTATCCATGTTATTGTTGTTAGTTTCCTTTGTTGAAAACATGGCTGTGAAATTTCAGCATAAAGAAACAATTATGAAGCATATGGGCTACATTACCTTTCAAAATTCGCCAGATTTGGCCTTTTTGTCACAGACTAAATGAAAACTCTGTGATTATCTATCTCCTGATGCTTCCAAATACCAGAGTTCCACAACCTTTATATTTTGAGTCAGTCCTTTGTAAAGTTCCTTAACATTGCCAAAGAGCTGAGGTTAGGGAACGCTTTGTTTCTTTTAAAATATTTGCAAGAATCTGTTCTGACTACATTAACAGAATTATCAACACACATCTGGCTGTTAAAAGAAATTTAAGTCCAAGGTGACGAACCATCCACCTTTGTAGTCTCCACTGGGTGGCACTGAAGTCCAGGCGTTAACTTCAAAGCCAGACTCATAATGATATAAATTGATTAAGCTTTTACCTGAAGTGTGAGTCAAGCATTACTTCACTGCCAGCTGAAGAGTTTTTGCCCCCTAGCCACGAGGAAGTGAGGCGCACTAGCAGATGCAGCCACGGGATGACGCACAATTTTATGTTCCAAACAAGACGATTGCGAAGCACGTGGAAATCCCCCTATTGTAGTTCACTTGAATTCCAGTCCAGGGTTTGACTGAACCAGCCTGGAGGTATTGACACACTCTTGCACATTGAAATCCCACTGAAAGCACGTTCAAATATAGGTGCTATAGAAGTAGGCTTACAACTTTCTCTAAGTGTGGCGAGAAAATGGGAGTATTGACTTGCAGGATTTAATTCCACTTCAGTTACCGGCATCCATTACCAGTAAATTAGGCATCGGTCAGGTAGATACCAAGAAAGAAGGGCACTAAAAGCAAAGATTATCTTTAGAAACCGGTTTGAAAAGGTAAAAACTAAATGGTACAAATCAACAAAAGGATGCAAGGACAAGAAACACGAACGCTTCCCAGTTCTAGTGATCTTCATAACTCTTAAAACTGCAGGAAGCAGAAATGTATAAAAGGAAAAAAACATCCATCCTGCAGCTCTCCCTTCCTCTACAGTCCAAGTCACTTCCACGAAATAAGCAAAAAGTATACGCATATGCTTGACAACAGCTAGAAAGAAGTCTATGAACCGAGTCTTTCTGTTTAACAGAAGATTTAAACCGTACTCACTCAG